ATCATGTGAAAGAGGACCTTCAGCTGACATCAGAAGCAGCGCTAGTGACACCACAGACGAAGCGGGTCTCGGAGATTCGGGGATGACTGTAAACTTACAGATCGCCTCTCAGGGAGAGAGTTTGGCCATCCAGCTGCTGCTGTACTGACACAACAAGAGTTTGGGGTTCAGAAGAGTCCCTTGGCGATCTTCAGACCTTTCTGCTTCATTCGGGGCAGCGTGGAGCTGGCCACGTGTTTGGTGCGGCCTGCTCTCGGGAAACCTCTCTTCTTCAAGACAAAGTCATAGTTGGCCGTGGAGTTCATGGCGTAAAAAACATTGGCGTTGTCGGGAATCTTCAGCTCTGTGTGGGAACACAATAACAGGGCCTATGTTAAAATCAGGTCACTTTCAATGTCTCCAAACCAAAAATCTGACAAAATTGAGCTCATCAACAAGAGGAGCAAAGGTATGTTTTATACCATATTCTGATGACTGACCCTTTTCCTCACTGATTTTCTGAACCAGTTCATAATCCTCGGCTCGCTCGCGGTCCAGGTTGTGTTTGATCATGGCTTTCCTCACGACTGCGGGAGTCTTATCCTGACTGGTGACCTGAAACACACACACACACACACACACATGCATCCTGATCCAAGTGTGGAACATCTGTAGGTTTTCACCACTGGTTCGAGTCGCCTGAACTAGAGTTTGACAGGGTTCACAAACTTTTGCACCAATGGATCACATGGTAATTAAACTAGTTGTTTACTTTTATATGAGAAATGCTTTTGGTACTGTGTTGGGACTTGATGTAAAATCTGAAACAAAACCACATGAGAGCCTCTGATCTAGATGATCTTCCTGCTCGGTCTCTCCGTTATTTGACATATTCTCACCAGTATGCTCTTGTACATGTTTCCGTTGTCCACGTCCAGGCTGACTCTGATGATGCAGCAGTCGTCCACCTGCTGGTTGTAAAGCGGCAGAGAGAGAGACGAGTAGCTGGACACGCCGGAGACGGAGCGCTTGTGTGAGCGGGACGCTGTGACCGGTGTGGACGACACCGAAGACGAGGAGGCACTGCTGGAGCCAGAACCTGAGCCGAGACCCGACGCGTCCAGAGACGACAGAGACGTGGACTCCCAGAACTGAAGGACAAGACAGACAGAGAGACTGAGCACGCTTGCAGCTTGAGTTCTCTATGAGTTCAGATTTGAGCAGTGAGAGAAGAATTGATGATTCCAGAGCGGATAAAATCCAGTTTCAGTGAAAGTAAACCATCACGTGTTGACACACACACACACACACACACCAGGAGTCCCGACTGTGACTACGATAGTCGCATTTGCAACAATCAATTAAAGTCTTGTTAGATCTGGTAACAGAGGGGTTTCATCTGAGTTAGTTAATGACATCTTTAGAGCACGTATCAGTGTTTCCTACAGCGCTGTTCAGCATCTTTCTGTCGTGCTGCACTCTCTGCATGAACACAGTGCTGAATCATCAACAGATGAATCAGTCAAACAGTTTCTAATCAGTCTATAATTCACAAGCAAGTCAACTGTTTAAATAACCAATATGAATACAGTGATAACCAACGTGAAATACAGTGCATTACTTCACTTTATTTAAATCAATACATTGTTGGGAACACTTTCCAGAGCTGAGATTTAGTGGAAACACTGGCACACGCCTTTGCAATGTATAATCAAGCAATTTAGACATTTGTGACCCTGGAGCACAAAACCAGTCATAGGGGTCAGTTTTGTGAAATTGAGATTTATGCATCATCTGAAAGCTGAATAAATAGCTTTCCATTGATGTATGGTTTGTTAGGATAGCACAATATTTGTAAATCTGGAATCTGAGGGTGCAAAAAAATCTAAATATTGAGAAAATCATCTTTAAAGTTGTCCAAATGAAGTTCTTAGCAATACATATTACTAATCAAAAATTAAGTTTTGATATATTTACGGTAGGAAATTTACTAAATATCTTCATGGAACATGATCTTTACTTAATATCCTAATGATTTTTGGCATAAAAGAAAAATGTATAATTTTGACCCATACAATGTATTGTTGGCTATTGCTACAAATATACCCCAGCGACTTAACACTGCTTTTGTGCTGCAGGCTCACATTTGTACTCTAAAGAAAACGTAATTTGGCTTTGTCAATTTAGGAGCTAGCAGCTAGTCATTTGTTTAGTCGGGATCCCTGACACACTCAAGAAAGACAACTAGAGCCCAATCAATTACAGTGGTCTGCAACCAGCTAACCATCACTAACACACACAAAGACACAGCAGCACGCTGACTCGATGAACGCCGGTGATGATGAACTCCAGAATGGAAGAGAGCAATGAGTGTTTTCCAGACACGGACGGGGAGAGACGGGATGAGGTGAGAGAGATTGAGTACCGTGGGTATCAGGTCTGCCGTAGGGCCGCACTTCCCTAAGGTAGAATTGGAATGTTTTACGAAGGGCGTGGAGGTCTACAGGAAGGAAGTAAAGCTACAGTCACTGACAGACACAGCAGAGCTCCGGAGAGAGAGCACATCACACACCACAGGGCGTTTTCAGACCTGCACATCAACCGCTTTTCCCCAAAACAGGGACGTGAACCGTTGGATTTTCTTGGTTTGGCTTGCTTTGACAAAAAAAAACATTTCAAAGCGTACCAAAATTATGCATTCTAGTAATTCACCTTTTTGGATAAGAGCAATTAGACGACATTTGAGGATGAAGATGTGCTTTGGAGTTCAACTGTGATATCTAACGTGCTCAGCCACATAATTGACACTGCTGCTTTTTACAAAACACATTTACATTATGAATTATGATACAGCTTGCTTCGTTGGTCCATTGGGTTGAATTGCCTAAGTGCCAGTCCAAAGACTGTTTTGGTGCGGATCCAAGCATGCTGGCTGTGTTCACATATGCCTAAACAAACCAAACTATGGGAGAAATACACTAGGCTCCAAAACAAACACTGGCCAGGTGTGAAAACGCCCATCGATATCTTCAGTACTGCTTTCACCTGGCATTAACATACATCTCAAAGGCTTCTCCTGTGACATCTCATTTCGAAAATAACCCTCAATGTTTAAGACCCTTCTGTCAGGGCAATGCATTTTGCTGTTGTCTGGGTCAAATGTGATGTGCTACAAACAGCTGACATCTAGGAATGGAAACAACAGTGAGCGACTGAAGGAAATAAGCCCTGTCCTCTGGAGAGACGCTGTGGGATCAACAAGATGTTGATAACTGAACAGCAGTCAGACGATCTCCTCACCTTCCTCTCCAGAGCGTCCGGTGAATCAGAGATGAAGCTGATGTTGACCTCCTCCACGTCAGAGCTGCTGGACCCCGCGGACGTCACGCTGAGAGAGTCGCCGCCGTCGCCTGCCGAGCCACTCAAACCCGGCGGGTAACGCAGCTGATCGAAAGACTTTGAGTGAGAGCTTCCAGAACCGCTGCATCCGGCTTCCCCCGAACCCACGGGCTGCCGACTGAGAGACAGAGCCACAATAAACACCACCTCCGTAACAAAACATCAGTGGTTACCGTATGGAAGGAATACTTCCAACAACTCTCATCTCTCAGTGAGCTTGATGTAATGCATTCTGGGATTGCCTTGTCCATGGATACATGTTAAGCTACCTTACATTTTGAGCCTAAACAAGGAGTCTGGTCAGGCAGCATAATTCATGATGACTGAAACTGCCATCTAAATAGGTGTAGTAATAGCAGGTGTGTGGATGTGGTGGTCAGCACTCACTCGCTCCATCTCTTCATGATTCCTGAGCTCTTCTTGGCTCTCAGTGTGTTGGAGGCCGATTCAGAGAGCGGCTCGATCTCACACGACTGACTGTAGCTGCAGAAAACCCAGAACAGCATTCAGGAGTGTGTGTGTGTGTGTGTGTGTGTGTGTAATTCTGCACATCTAAACCCATGCTGATGTCTCACCTCTCGGCCTCCGAGAGCTTCTCCACGCCGGAGAGCCACGCACCGAACCCCGCCACACGCCGGAAATTATAATTGTTACACGCCAGCTGTAACAACTTAATCTGAGCGATGACCTCAAACTCCTACAGAGGGAGACAGACAGAGACAGATGAACATGGCATCAACGCGACGTTAGCGTGTTAGAATCATCGTCAGGAACTGTTCCTTCTGTTCAGACGTACCTTCCTTCTCTTCTCGAAGTTGATCAGGCCTCCCTGAGATGCAAAGAAAGAACCAGTTATTATCCATATATATGGAGCCAAACTAGTGCTGTCAAAATTAGCACGTTAACGCATGCAATTAATTATTTCTGTTTAACGCATTAAAAATATTTAACGCAGGATTTTATATAGGAGTCAGATTTAAGAACATGTCTCTGAAATGCAGTGGCTTTCCAAACTGTCCTGAAGCAGCAGCACCGTCTCCCTCATAGAGACTTTGAGAGCTGAAGTGAGTCAGAAAAGGTAAAGAGTTGTGAGAAAATATGATGCGTGTCAGATCCTCGTCATATTCAGCAGCCAAAATAACCTCATAACCAGCTGCTGTGATGCTGTTCATCAAACAGTGAACACACACAGACAGCAGTGAACACACACACACACACACACACACACACACACACACAGGAGCA